TAGATATCTATTAAGGTTTTAATGAATAATTTTGTTAAAAACTTGTGGCACCGATCTGAGCTATAAGTACGTAGGTATGACTAATACTTAATAGTTATTTTTTGCTTTTTAGTTCGTTTTGTTTCGTTTGTTTTAAGTTTTTGAAGTCGGTTTTTTAAACGCAATTTTTTGGGAGTTTTTTTACACATCGGGTTACATTATCGAAGTTTTCACAGGGTTCCCTTTTTTTCTTTCTTATTTAATACTAGCTTTTACTTGCGGCTTCGCTCGCGTCTCAAAAGAATAAAAAGTAGCCTATGTGACATATACCAATATACACAGCGCCATCTATACCAATACTTTGGTTTTTTCCTCGGGAATATCAATTTTTCCGGGTTAAAAAGTACCCTATTATTTAATCCGGACTTCTAACTTTACGTCTGCAAAAATTCAAAGCAATCGGTTGAGTAATTACGGCGTGAAGGTGGAACAAACAAACAAACAAACTCACTTTCAGATTTATAATATTAGTAAGGAAGTAAAGATATATATATAACCTATGTTCATCATCGATAATGTAGGATGCCAATGGTAAAAGATTTTTTCAAATGGGTCCGGTAGTTTCGGAGCCTATGCAAATCAAACAAACAAACAAATAATCGAATTTTTCCTCTTTATACTATTACTATAGACTATAGATAAAGATTTTAAAAAATCATGATAATGGCAATTTCCGCTCTGTTCGTAATTATCTATAGCTTGGCAATTCGACCTTCGCTTGGCCTAATGTTACTCGAGAAATATTATGACAACATTGATATTTCAACATACTTTCAACATAATGATTCATGACCGAATTAACGAAAAGTTAACTATCAAATAAAAGGGTTACGAGAAAAACAGTAAGCGCGGTTTCTGCAAAATCTGGTGTGACGAGAATATGAGATGTGATATGACATGACCGAAATCTGAAGAAGTTACATACCTCAATTACAATTCTTCCCAATGGTATTTCATCAGCGCAAACGTCGAAATAAACTCGGGGAAAACCCATATTGCTTTAACGTTTTCGACGTCCATCTATCACAGACTACTTAGAGATACTACGTAACATATCAGACTGCCAACTTCAGAACAAAAATTCTCACCACAGACTGCAAGTACCTACTTTTGTAATGTTGTATGACGTTCCTTTTTTTTAACGGTTTTATTTAGCTTAACCGTTGACAGAGAATAGAGGTAGACAAGTCCTCAGTGTATGCAGTATGAGATAGCGATAGTTTGACACAGGTTAATAATATTAGTATTCAACCTCTTTGCGTATATTAATGTTATAATATGTCGATAAAAAAAAATGACGGGTTGCACTCCGGGAGTGCCGGCCATAAGTGAAAACTAAGTATTAACGTTGTGCGTTTCGGAAATTTTGTGTTATGTGAAAAAGCTACCAAAAAGCTCCTTATATTGCTTAAGCCTTTGACTACCAATATAAACAAATAATCCGAATACTAATTTTTAGCTTTCAACCTAAAAATTGCAAAAAGCTCCATACAAACTTCCACCCCTGATCCAGGAAAGTGGGGGGTTAGAAACAAACAAAAAGTAGCGTATGTTCCTCTATATCCTTTAAACTATCTCCATACAAAGAAATCCTTCTAGCTATAAACGTTCTGCCGTGAGGGACGGAAAACAAAGAAATACACACAAAGCGAGCCAAAAATATTTGCAAAAAAATACAACCAAAAACAGCACAATGTCTCCTAATCGTCATATTAAATATGCAGGTACCTACTCGAACTGATTTTTAGAGAAAAATCGCACAGTTATCTATTTTTAAAAAACAACACACCGTCCTTTCCTCACTGCGGTAGTGCCGTGACTCAAACAAAATTATTCATTAAAACCTTCAAAGATACCTAATATTCAGCTGCTTACAACTTTGTGATCACTAATTTACACAATTTTGATAAGAGCTTATTTATGGCGCCGACTTCTAACCTATCAGTGGGTGGGTAACCTATCAGTACTATATAATACTAGTTATTTTTTGCTTTTTAGTTTTTACTTTCTGTTTGTTATTAGATTTTGGTTTTTTGAAGTCGGTTTTTTAAACGCAGTTTTTATTTATTTATTTTATAATTTTTTGTGTAAAGCTACATAGACCCGTTTTGTCACTTATAATCCACATAGGTGCAAAGTTCTAATCAACACAAATTATTCAAGCCCAAACACAAGGTAGTTACGTACTATAAACCGTTGAAGAGTTCCTTTAACAATTACACTTCTTCATCATCAGACCTTTAATGACAGTCCCACTCCCTCTAGGTGTAAACTTCTCATTAATAAAAATTTATCAAGCCCAAACACAAGGTACTTGGGTACGTACTTACTACTTAATATAAACCGTTGAGGAGGTCCCTCGACTATCTATCGGGTCCACCATCAGGTCGACTCCAGACTCTTGTCAAATTGTAGTGCTTAAAAATCCTTACTGAAAAATATAATGGACGGACATTACTTGCCCCTTTCTTTAAAAGTTTCCCTCGGTTTCCCTAGGATTCCATCATCAGATCCTGATCTCATGGAAATGGGACCATCTCGGGAGTTACCTTTCGAACAAATCAAGAATTTTGGAAATCGGTTCACAAACGACGGAGTAATCGGCGAACAAATAAAAAATTACAATCAGCCGAACAGTAATGACTGTCGCAACCGAGGACTGGGCTCACTGTTACCACAGCGGTAAATTCCCTCTTTGAGGAGTGGTTTGAGAGACGTCAAGGCGTCCTTACCTACCGTCTGACGCAAGTTTCGGTAGGTTCCTGTTTCTGATTGGTCGAGAGGAAACGCCCGGTTGTCATCACTGCGAGCACCGCACAGCGGACGGCGGAGCATATAGTGGCGGTGTGTCTTTTATAGGTGAAACACCACCGTGTACTCAGGGAAATGATCTGCACGTCTCACGTCCGGCTCTGGTTCTGGCGCGGATGCCATGGGATACTAAATAGGGAACGGTGCGCGTAAGGAAACATTTCTCCTCACGCCCCAACTGCCGCAGGAGACACTCCTATGGCCTGTGGATGGTGAGCAATTGTAGCTCACCGCTTGACCAAATCCAGATCCCAACGTATGGCACCTCAATGAGCCGTCGGACTACCAAAGAGTAGTAGTCCAGTAGGGCTGATGCCCGATATAGAGTCGTGGAAGATTCAGCGGGTTACCGGGGTTGTGGCTCAAAGAGCAGGAGGGTCAACATTCTCATTTGTATCATATATGTAAAAAGGGAGTGTAAATTAATAATTTGGTCTGCAGTCATCCTAAAAAAACAAAAAAAAAATCGGTTATTAAAATTTTGGTTGTGGAGTGTTATAATTTTATTTTGGTTATTAATAATGATTTCATACTAGCTAAGAAGGAGGACAACAACCTCCTCACGTCTCACTCACCACTGTCTCCTGTAAAAGGATCTCGTCGAGGCAACTCGACGTTACTATCATCGAGATCTCCATGTAAGGGCGACTCTGCGGACGGCGAACAAAGGTAGCTCACCGCCCGAGCACTAGGCCGGAGCCGATATAGCCGTCAGACCTGCACCATAGACGGGGCTCCCCAGGTTTGTTGCCCCGCCGGGGTTGCGGGAGGGTTTCCGTCTTAGAACAGATGTTGAAACGTATCACACAAGGCAGGAAGAGTAATTTGATGACTTTCCACCCACTTATAAAAAAGGGCGGTAAAATCGGTATTTGCACGCGGGCGCTCAAATAGCTAGCGGCGGGGATGGCTGAGCATAGCCACCAGGGTGATTTTATTGAATTAAAAATCCACTCCCTAGTCTTCCTCACTTAGGCTCGTTGCCATTGCAGCGGATGCCGATACGGAGCCGCGGAGGACTTAACGGATTGCCGGTTCGAAGGACAGGAGTAGGAACGGGGTGGAGTGGAGTGGTTAAGTCTGACACTCCCACCCGCCTCACCCAGGCGGGAGCAGTCATTCAATGATTAATTAGCCCCTTAAAAAAAGTCTTCCTCACTTTTCCTGTGTACCTAATAAAAAAAGCAAAAAAGAAACTTGACTACGAGTTATGACTATGTAGGTACCTAGGCATCTACCTAAGTAACGTCACGCACGAAAATGTTTGATCAAGGTTAGTTTACGAAATCACATATTATTGCTATGTGAAAAATTATCCCATGTGTGTGAAATTATATATTCATGTGGTACTGGAAAATTACATGACAAAGTAAATTAAATACTCTTTTCAAATTGTTTATAAAATAGCCTACTTGGGTTGATTATTCATTACATGGGACTCTGTAACATAAATAGTGAAAAGTGGGTGTGACATTGTACAGAAGTAGTAAGTGGCTTAATGTGCACCTCTGCCTACCCCTTCGGGAATAAAAGGCGTGATGTTATGTTAAACATATTACTAGTACATCGACTAGTACTTTTAGTCAGTAGCAGCTGTTGATGATTGCTATATAAAGCAATTATAGGGGTTTATTAAAAATACAATGACGTTATATAAGTTAATTTATTATGAATAAACAATGCACAGAAATAAATGCAATCCCTAGTTGCAACCTAAAACATAGCAATAAGTTTTATCATAATTGGAATGAACCATATTCAATTCTCTTGAAGACTGGGAAGGTATTACTTGGGAGGACATAGTGTTAAACTTAAAAAATATTGTTATATTATTACAGAATTAAGTTAGGAGAGTTGACCGCAGTCAGCAATGATGATTTTCTTTGAGGTCTTGCCAGACTGGGAGCCATAGGATTCAACCTGCTTGACGACATCCATGCCTTCAACAACAGTGCCAAAGACAACGTGTCTGCCATCCAACCAGGAAGTCTTCACGGTAGTGATGAAGAACTGGGATCCATTGGTGTTGGGACCAGCATTGGCCATCGACAGGACTCCAGGTCCAGTGTGCTTCAGGACGAAGTTCTCGTCTGCGAACTTCTCACCGTAGATGGACTTGCCACCAGTACCATTGTGGTTTGTGAAGTCACCTCCTTGGAGCATGAAGTTGGGGATCACACGGTGGAAAGTGGATCCCTTGTAACCGAAGCCCTTCTCGCCAGTGCAGAGGGCACGGAAATTTTCACAAGTCTTGGGAGTTACATCTGTTCTTAGCTGTAACAATAATAATAAAGTACATAAGTCCAACGTCCTGCTGTATCGAACTTTCCAGAGCGTGCGTCGCGCCCGCTCCTAGTTACGACTTTACGACTGACTATTATTAATTCACTAATGTTTCTTTGACTTTGAAACCTACATAATGGGTGTGTCAGTAATGCGAATCAGTTTGTTTATAGAGAATGAGTAATACATTTCACCTATCAATGCATCGCCGCCGGCGCATAGCTACAAGTGACACAAACTGTAACATCCAATGAAAGAAGGCTACATCGAGACAAAAACATAAACATCATGATAATGGCAAATTCCGCGCTGTTCGTAATTATCTATAGCTTGGCAATTTGACCTTCACTTAGCGTAGGTAATCTTACTCGAGAACTATTATGACTACATACATCTATATATAGACGTTATATGCAGATTTCCACATGTAATATAAAAAAATACATGATAAATTAATTTCAACATAATGACTCATTACCAAATTAATGAAAAATTAACTATCAAATAAAAGGGTTACGAGCAAGACAGAAAGCGTGGTTTCTGCAAAATCACGCCGGCCGGAGCACCGGTGTGACGAGATGTACATAACCGAAATCTGAAGACGTTACATACCTCAATTACAATTCTTCCCAATGCTGATCCATCAGCGCCAACGTCGAAATAAACTCGGGGTAAAGCCATATTGCTTTAATATGTAGAGTTTCAGACGAATTAGCTTTAATTCACCACAATGACGATGCGTCTCCTGTCGATGCCGGGCGGAAACAGAATGTAGCATAGACAAATTTCTTACGTCATATCCTATGCCGTTCAGAACATATCATCAAACATGAAAAGAACTCATTTGATAAAAACAAATGAGTTTTCTTTTCAAGATGAGTTCGAACTTAATTTCAATAATAAAAGTTGAATGGAATTGTAAATAAGAAACATTATCATTTGTGTAAGTATATTGTTTTCATTTTCTTGCACGCATGTCATTAAATTGTTTTCAAACAAATTGTTTTTAGTTTAAATAAGTAGTTAGCCATTCCAGTAATTACGGAGTAAAATTACGTATCTTTTTAACATTTCAGTTAGTACTACTTGTTACCATTTATTGATATTGAGTAAAAATGAAGTAGCCCTTATTTTTTGTTGTCTTTAGAATTTGTTATCTAACACACACGGACACGGTTAGACGGACAGACAGCTGATACAGCTACAGCGAAACCGTAGTTATAATGTTTTTATCTTATTAGCTTTTGGGAACGGGACCCTTCAAAAATTAGGCTTCTAGGCCTCAAGCCAAAACTTGACCATAGAGAAAACTACCACATACGTAAGCTTGACTTTTACGGAATGTCAGTTCAAATTCAATGTCAAACTGACATCTTAAATTTCAGTAATCATTTCATAGATTCAGAATTTAGAATATTGTATTCCTTTCAGTTTTAAAGTAACACGTAAGATCTTAAAGATTTCTATAAAAGTGCTGTATACTATATCTTACTACCTCTCCTATAAAAAGCTTTAACAGTGTGTAAATATATTATTAAAAATAAATAATTGAACCGGCTGGTGCTTTTACTTATATTCGTTTGAAAATTTCCAGTACAAAATGAGTTTAGAATCCATAAGGTACACCAGAGGGAGTTTGGATATTTTAGACCAATTACTTTTACCTCTGCAGACAAGATACGTCAAAGTAGAAGGTGTTGAAGATGGTTGGAAAGTTATCAATAAAATGCAGGTACATTTTGTAATATTTTTCAAAGCATAATAAGTATAACACTTTCATTATTGATACATCATATTTTCTGTTGTGAACAAAGGTACATAAACTAAGTACCATAAATTGTATTGACCTTTGACACATGAATGAAGCCATGAGTAAACCCAACTTTGGTTTTGATGATAAGATGAAAATGTAAAAGTATGCTACTTGTTTGATAGTAGTAATTAAAACTGTAATTGGAAAATCAATTTTATGGTGATTTACATTAATGAAGTACAAACCATGTTACTCTTTTAAAAAAGAAATTATCAACATAGAGAAATATTATCCACTTTAAGGTTCATGAACTAGGTGGTGCCCTCAATTTAGTTGGGAAAAAGCCAGAAAAAGAGAAACAAGTGATTTATGTAACAAACTAGCTTTTGTTCTTTATTATAGGTGCGAGGAGCCCCCGCAATAGCAATAGTTGGTTGCTTATCATTGGCTGTGGAACTAGAAAAAGACAATAACTCGGACAAAAAAGTAATGAGGCAAGAGGTCAGTTTATCTCCACCTCCTTATTGATAACATGCACAATCAACAGTAGGTCAACTTACTCCAATTTCAACCCTATATCAAGACAATAGAGTTGAAAATGTTGTAAATCAATTTGAGAGATTAGAGTAACTTGACCTGCTATTGACTACTATATGAACTAATAGTATATTGTAACAAATTCAACCATATGACACTGATGTAAGCTCGTATCATGTAGATAAGGCCCCCTTATCATTCTCAAAATATTTGAGATGAGTTATCAACACTTTACAAAGATAAATGATTTAGGATTTCTTCTGTCATTTCAATATATTTAGAAAAGTACATTGACGCTTATCAATATTTAAATTCCAATTATTGAGTATTTGTTAAATAATCCCATGATTAATTTGAAATTGGTAATATTTTGTGGAAAAATTATGTTTATGTTATCTCTTATAATAATAATGTGCAATTATTAAACTCTTGAACACATATTTTGTAATACCACAGAACATTCTCTTGTTCTATCATCAATAGTTACAGCAGTCCTGAAAGAAAAAGATGTTCTTAGTTTTAACCTTTATGGATGTATTGTTTGTTTGTGCGCGATTATCTCTTGATTGGCAGAACTGATTTTGATGTGGTATTAAGAAAACTGTATATTACAGAGAATGTTTTAGTATTGAGATTTTTTGAAACATAATATATAAAATAATTTTTACGCACTTTTACTGCTATAGCCGGTAGACATGACTGTCCTTTGATGTGGAACTTAGTGCAGGGGACTGATTCCCTGTTTACTATTGCTTATTAATATTGTACCTAAATAGTTATATAGTTATGTATGATTGTGTTCTTCCTTTACTATTAGTTTGATGGATCTCAGTTATCTGAATAAATAAATATATTATTATTATTTAGGTCAGATTATTTATTGATGTTATTTAGAGAATTGAATGGCACTGTTTAGTAAACAGGTTAACCAGCTGGTTCCGACATAATACTACGAAACTTGTGTTCAAATTGCCAAAGAGTGTACAGATATAAATAGCATCCTAAACATTCTGTTTAATTAGTAAATATATTTGTAATTGGCAACATTTCCAATGATTACAGATTGAAGGTAAACTTAATTACCTAGTGTCGGCGAGGCCAACAGCTGTAAACATAAAACTGGCAGCTGATGAACTGATAAATTTAGCAAATTCCCTGAGTGCCGACGAAACTGTTACACCTGAAGATTTTAAGGAAAGGTTTGTGTTATCAAGACATAGTATTTACATCTACAGTCTACACTAATCCATACTTATATAAAACTGAACTGAAGAGTATGTTTGTTTGGAAGAACTTACAGCTAAAACTACAGGTTCGTCATCATAAAAATACATGTAGTAAGATTTGATCCCTGAATTTTTTTTTTTAACTAGCTTTACTTAACTCACATTAGCATTTACTCCTGTGTCGTGGGTGCGTTTACAAACATACAAGTTCACATACACATGACACCCAGACCCGGAACAACAATCTGTGGATCACACAAAGAGTTGGTTCGTGCGGGAATCGAACCCGCGACACGTTGCGCGGCAGTCAGCTGCCAACCGTGCAGTAAGAAAAGAAACAATAGAGTTATTTATCTAGCCACTCTAGCACGGTTTCGCCTGCTGCTCGGCTCTTATTAATGATATGCGTGATATTTTATAACCCATTGCCTTCCTGGATAAATGAACTATCCAACACAAAAACAAGTTTTCAATTTGAACCTGTACTTTTGGAGATTAGCAAGTTTAAACAAACTCTTCTATTTTATATAGATTAAAATTAATTATTACCATATTTTATTCAATTATCGTTTATCTTATCTAGATTCATTAGTAGAATAGAGGGAATGCTCATTAAAGACATAGAGGACAACAAAGCAATAGGGAGGTATGGATGCGAGGCTATTTTGAAGAACTCTGAAGGTGATGGACCAGTCCGAATCCTGACACATTGTAACACTGGCTCACTGGCCACTGCTGGGTATGGAACTGCATTAGGAGTGATTAGGTCTTTGCAAGAAAGCAAGAGGCTTGGTAAGTAAAAATAAATATAATCTATTAACTCTAGCATCTTTATTAATAATCTCAAATAATAATTATGTTGCTAAAAAAAATATGTGTATATGTGATACAAATGGTTAAAAGCATGATAGTAATATATTCAATACTAGCTACTTCCGCGCGGTTTCACATGCTGTACTCAGCTCCTATTGGTCGCAGCATGATGTTTTATAGCCTATAGCCATCCTCGATAAATGCGCTATCCAACACAAAAATAATTATTCAAATCAGACTTGTAGTTACGGAGATTAGCGCGTTCAAACAAACAAACAAACTTTTCAGCTTTATAATATTAGTATAGATGTCACAATATGATTGGCAGAACTCTAGCATATTATCAATTTAGTATTCTTTGTTAAATGAAAATACCTCAGTGACATGTAATAAATTAGTATGAATCACATTATAGTCACTCATTCCTTAAGAAAGACAATATTATATTCAAGGAGTTAATATTTTCATTATGTTTCAGACCATGTATACTGCACGGAAACCAGGCCGTACAACCAGGGTGCAAGACTCACCGCCTATGAGCTGGTTCATGAGAAGATACCGTCAACCTTGATAGTGGACAGTGTGGTATCAGCACTCATGAACTCAAGGAGGATAACTGCAGTTGTTGTTGGTGCAGATAGGGTAAGATTTAAAGTTAATAGATATTCATAGTCTCATCACTACATTAAGACTTTGACTGCCAATAAAAAACTGTTGAAGGTAAATCCTCCGCTAACGCTGATCACCGGTGACCCCCATGGCGTTTAACGTCTTAATTTGTTTAATTACCACACAAGCTTTGAAAAGTGTCTATTTGGAAATTGAAAAACCATTCGTTATTTTACTTTATTTTCCCAAAAAATGTTATACATAGTATACTGAAATATATCTTAGCAGAGCACAGTGAAGAAATAGCGAAAAAAGCATTATCCTAAAAATATTTTACGGTATAAGTGTTATTTTCAGAATCATTTATCATCTGTATAAAAAAAGCACCAACGCGCGGATAGAAAAACCAAATTTACAGCCACGCACATTCATATCATACATTTTATGTAAATTGCATTTATAGAATTAGTCATTCAACTGCTTATGACATCATTAGTTTTTTACGGAAATACTAATATTCTTGTCGATGATTTCAGGTAGCCGCAAATGGAGACACGGCGAATAAAATAGGTACATATCAAATTGCGATCGCAGCGAAACACCATGGAGTGCCTTTCTACATAGCCGCTCCTCTAACTTCTATAGACATGTCCCTAACGTCTGGAGAAAGAATAAAAATTGAAGAACGACCAGAGAGAGAAATGACTCATGTTGGCGTCCATAGGATTGCGGCCCCCGGTATGTTAAAACTTCCATCGAAACTACATGGACCCTTTCTCGACGCGACCCGCGCACGTTCCAATTTAGGTGCAATTTCCTAAAACTTATCTATGTTGTGTGCCAATGTAATGATGTCCAGTGTTGCTGATGTTTATGTTAAATGCTTAATGGAATAGTTTAAGAATGGGATGACAATGGAACTACGTGTCGTGAGCTTGGACTCCGCACTAGAGCTTTATCTATTTCGTAACTGTTTTTAGCTATATGCCCAGAATGGAACAATATTCTATGTTTTTGCTACAAGCTATAAAAGCCATTGAAACCTCTTGAATCTAACGAGAACATCTCTTCTATTTCAGGTATCAATTGTTGGAACCCTTCATTTGACGTCACGCCCGCTGCTTTAATAACGGGAATCATCACTGAAAAAGGAGTATTTGCTCCCGACAAACTGAGTGAAATTGAATCTAAATAACATAACTGTTCCTATTTATTTTCCTACAAACTTATTACATCCGTTAAATATTATAAACTATTCGAAATATAACAAATAGCTCATAAACAATATACCTATGTTTTATAAGATTGTTATACTGTTTATTGTTATAATCGCATGTAAGAATAAATTTATTGTATAAAAACTAAATGAATGTTTTATATTATTGTGGTACCTATTGTAAATAATCAGAAGAAAATTAATTTATGTTCATTTATTATAGCTAGCATTGTGTGTATCACTTACATACAGATTAATAAAAAGGTGAAGAAAATCGTTTGATATTCCATCTGTACTCAGTCCAGACAGACGTGGTAACCTGCATGTGTCATGTCATCACCATGAAAGCCCACTTACAGCCCACAAAATAAGAGTTTGCTATCCGTGGATAGCAAACTCGTAATTTGTACAAGCGTGCTTCACAAGTGGGTTGCAATATCTATGTCACGTCCACAATGTTATGTAAATCACTCTATGTACGCAGCTGAAACTTAAAAGCTAATTGTTGAAAGAGAGCAGAAACTGCTTTTTCAGTCAATGAGTCCGGGAGAGTGCGCATCTCGCACCCTCATATCCATGTTTAAAATGGGATACTAAGTGAGTTTTCTATAGTCAATAGCCTGATAGAGAGCTTTATGAGGATTTTCCGGCTTGGGGTCAATAAATGTATAGGTACTATGTTCTTGTCAAGTATTTAATATGTAATTGGGTATGTAGGTACTGGAATTCCGTTCAAATAGGGGAATGGAATTCTAATAATGGGACAACTATTTACGACATCAACACACAAGTAAACAAACATTATTTAGACAAAGGCTAGGGTTATTCATTTGTAAAAACACATATGGATGATAATATTATACATCATAATAACGCATTGTTTAAAACGGCAGTGTTTATTCTATTCTATGGTAGTAAGTGAGCATAGTATCTTGTGATAAAGTATCAATATGTTTTATTATTATTCTATCGTCTTAAAACATCTTATAAGAAACAAATGGATAATTGGTAACATTTCTACGTTTAGTACGTTAATTCATATTGTAAATACAATCAACAAAACAAATGAAAACAATGAAAAGTAAATTCACTTAAAATTCTACCAGAAGCTACCAAAATGATTTTGGTAGTAACTAAAAAATTAAGGTGTCAAACACAGCAAAGCTATTAAAAAAAAATCAATTCCAATATGTCAGGTTGTAGTTGGGCAAGTCGTGAATTTAGTTTTAGTATTTTAGGATAAGAATAGGACGTTGTGAATAAAAAACGTAAATATGACACAATAACACAACCCAGTGCATTGTTGATGATTCATAGAAGTTATAAAAACGCGGGTCTGATTTTAGTTTCTCTTTTTACTGTACACGGAAACGTTTCATGTTGTTATTTATTGTTTCGATTCAAATAATGTACAGCAGTCGTTAATTAAATAATCGTGGTGACAAAAGTGTGTATTGGTTTTAAGTGTTCGTATAATTTGTTGTAATGTAAATAAAAAAATATTGTTTGCTCGCGCATGCGTTTGTGTCAAAAACAGACAAAGGTTTTGTATGGTTTGGAAATCAGCTGTATTTTATGTGCGATGACTTAGTGATACAAAAAGTGTGTGTTTGGAAGCGACAATGTTCAGTGAAATCGGATACATAGTTTTTCTACTTCTTGCTCTACCTTACATCGAAAGTGGTAAGTCCAAAAGAAGTTATTTTTCTGCAACCCACTTACAAAATAATGGAGCAATTTATTCTGCCAAAGGAAATGTGTCGCAAATGGTTTGAATGAATGGAGTCATTCTCAGCTCGCAATTATATTTACATTATTGTGTTTATGTCGCCCTTCACCCATATTGCAAATAATTTGCCTTGAAATAGTCAAAATAAAATGATTGCTAACAAACAAGTAACAACCCACATTACTTAAATATGTAAAATACCTCATCAACATTCTCAAATTAAAATGTTATTCATAATTTGTCTGGAATTTGTAAATTATTCATGAGTACTTTGAACAGGTATTCTAGACAGCAATTAGCAAATGGATAACAAAGGTGAACAGTTAAAAAAGTATAGGTGTCAATGACCAATAAGATAGACAACAGCCAACCATAATAATTATACAATAGACCCCTATAATATAGTAAATATAGTTATATCAGTACACTATAGTAGGCATTGTTTATTATTTACATGTCCATTCATGTCAAACAATATCTTGTAAATTGTACTGAGGCAGGCATTGTAATCATAGACAAGGATAGTGAACCTTTTTAGTTTTTTGTTGGGAACTGCTTTGTTTTATGTGCAGGTCAAAGGACTCTGTAATTCAGCCAGTGTATCTTAAAAAATTGCATTTGTCATATAAAATCTAACAAAGGAACAGTGAAGTTTAACATTTAACTGTTATATTTTCATTAGCTACTTTATGTGAATATAACTTTTTAAGGAGAAAAAGATGAATCATGGTTAGAAAAATCATGGACCAAACTACAATCAAGTTTTGTTTATTGCAAGTGTCATATTTTCTTTCGAACTAACTATTAACATTAGAGGTCATATTAAAATATAGAAACTTCACTGTTCACCTTGACTACTTTGAAGTCTTACAAACTTGAATTTTTATTATTTCTCTTAGACACTTGCAATTTATGTTAATTGAGTAGTATTTTAAATGCTCATAAGCTAGAATATTATTGTTTGAAGTTTGTGTGTGTGTGTGTATATGTGTATACTAATATTCATAACTTATCAATTGTTCAATACTTCCTGTAATGCAATTATTGACAAAAATTATTAAGAAATTGTAGAAGTTAATTAAATATTTTACTACCCTAAAGTAATTTTCACATAGTTACCCACTTAAAAAATTAAATTTATCAAAATAGAGACGAAAGGTGAATTAAAAAAATATGCTGAACACATAACATAATGATTATGCATAATAGAAAATGTCTATACATCTGAATATCACTTTTCACTGATTATTTGAAAGTACTTTGACAACAGAATTTAGTTTTCAAACGAGACAATAAGAAATGACTAACAGAAATTGACCAGCACTTTCACAAGCCAGTGAAGCATTGAAAATGTATTGAAGCACAAGATATTTCATATTACAAAAGAAAAAATGTTCTTGACAGGGTTGTTTAGACCATGAAACTTTGTTTACATTATTTTCAAATTAACATTCCATAACCTTTTGACTGCCATTATATTGGACTAAGAGCCAGCGGCCCGCAGACCTTCGGTAAAGTATAAAACCTGTAAGTTTCTCAAAGTATGTCCCCAACACAGGTAAGAATGAATCCCGTCTATGTAACTTGGGTCGCGGTGGCTTTCGCAGGTATCAGGTAATAAAGGTGTGTAAAATTGTGTGTTAAATTTGGTAAAATATAAAACTCAGTTTTTACATATTTGACTTATAATAATCCCAAAAGTCATCTTGCCGAAAGCCAGACACTTCGTACAGTTCCAACCCTCTGCCAGACACCCTTAAAGTATATTTAATTGTTACTATACTTACGGTATAGTATAAAATCTGCAATTTATATATGTTATTTGGATAACTATAAAATAATGTTTCTTCAATAGCCAGACAGTTTCTGTGGTTCCTTTATGTTGCCAGGCACATAAAAAGTCTAATGTAGGTGCGAGCGTGAGGGATATATTAGTCAGCGGGTGCGAGTGAAATAGCGCGTTCGGTCCCTTGCGACGTTTTACTGCGCATCAACTGTCATTTATTGTGTAATAGTGGTGTAACTTAAGATATGTGAACCTGACGAAGATACACTCAGAGTTAGGAGAATCTATGTGTCGAAGCCTACCTGGATTTCATGCAATCACAGGATGTGATTACAATCCTGCATTTTTCAGGAAAGGAAAATTGAAAGCGTACAAACTATAAAAAAATTGCGATGAATTCCAGAAAGCTTTCATGAATTTTGGCGACAGTGAAGTATTTGAAAATTATGATGAACAAGAAAACGTCTTTAATACCATTCAGCGATATATATGCAATTTATATAGTGTTGGTAATATTATTGATGTTGATACAGCAAGATTCCAAATGTTTATAGATTCTTATACAGTCTCTGATGTCAACGAGGCATTTAATCGAAAAAAATTACGAAATTTCGATGCCAGCAGTTTGCCACCTTGTAAAAGTGAGCTATCTCAGCAATTTTTGCGAGCAAATTATATTTTTGTACCATTTGGAATAATGCTCACCTGAAGAAACCAACAACATACAAACCAGAAAATAATGGTTGGATCCTGCAAAATGATCAATATCATTTTAAATGGTTTGAAGGTGATCAGCTACCAAACTACGTCAGTGATTCTCTAACAACTGTATCAGGTATGTAATTATGATGTTACAATATTATCGAGGAAATTTTGATTATTTATGATTATATTAACATGGATTAATTATTACAGAAACTGGCGAAGAAGAAGACGATATTGATAACGACCAACCCATAGATTGGAGCAGTGATGATGAAGACACTCAAGATATCGACGACTACGATGACAATAATTAAATATACTCTTTTTTTATTAATAAAATATCTTTGAAATGTTTTTGAATTAATTATGATTCCTAAACACGAAAATTTTATAAAAGAATTTTCTAAACATTTATTCGTTGATTCTATGTTATTATACCCTTACTAATGTATTTTATTAATGAATTTTCATAGTAAATCTAGAAAATAGTTCTCATTATACACAATAAATGACAGTTGATGCGCAGTAAAACGTCGCAAGGGACCGAACGCGCTATTTCACTTGCACCCGCTGACTAATATATCCCTCACGCTCGCACCTACATTAGACTTTTTATGTGCCTGGCAACATAAAGGAACCACAGAAACTGTCTGGCTATTGAAGAAACATTATTTTATAGTTATCCAAATAACATATATAAATTGCAGATTTTATACTATACCGAAAGTATAGTAACAATTAAATATACTTTAAGGGTGTCTGGCAGAGGGTTGGAACCGTACGAAGTGTCTGGCTTTCGGCAAGATGACTTTTGGGATTATTATAAGTCAAATATGTAAAAACTGAGTTTTATATTTTACCAAATTTAACACACAATTTTACACACCTTTATTACCTGATACCTGCGAAAGCCACCGCGACCCAAGTTACATAGACGGGATTCGTTCTTACCTGTGTTGGGGACATACTTTGAGAAACTTACAGGTTTTATACTTTACCGAAGGTCTGCGGGCCGCTGGCTCTTGCTCTATATGGGACTCAATAGAAAATACACGGTGTCTCGCTTAGAGCTATGTTCTCACAAATGACGGGTTGATTATTAAGTTTTGCTGTGTGTCTCTGTTAGGCACTATTGTCCTTGAATAACTACTTTAATGCCTGTGTTAAAATACTTTAACCCCTCGAGCGTCCTTATGAACACCCGGTGGATCATAAGAAAAAAATGCTCCATGCTGCTTTCTCTTTTATAAAATCTATTATTAATGTTTTGTTTTTATTTTGACTGTATTTGTTTTATTTCTATTGTAATGATCCTTGTTTTCATGTGCCAATGGCAAAAATAAATGCATTTTCTTGCATGCATAAGGATAAGAAAATGCATAACGAATGCGGACACTCAACGGGTTAAATAATGGAACATATACAGGTTATTTAATCCATTCAAAGAAGATAATTTAGTAAAGAAGTCACTTAATGGACTAATACATACATATTATCAGTACTGTATGATTTTATTGTCCTTAGGGTTAATTTTTTTTTTTCAATCTCTTTGACTAGATTTTGGTGTTACATTGTTCTCGATTAAACCCACAAAACTATGTAACAAAAAAATTAAAATGTAAACATGATTGAAAAAGAGTAACCTATGTAGTTTCTTGCTTGTTTGCCTTTATAGGAAACTACAACTTGAATGAAAAAATAGCCTCACATTAAAATTTGTCTGAAGTCTGAAGAATTAGCTAATAACTTTTAACTAACACACCTCAGTTCATTCATAATATTATTATTTCAATTCACTCTAAGATAACATCCCTAAGTAGTTTTAAAATTAAGCCTCTTTGTTATCTAATCTAAATACCTATAACAGATGTAGAAAGTACTTTGATATCAAGGATGTCTAATGTTAACTCGTCGAGTACCGGTTTTATAGACACAATAAAGAACAATAGGTCGCGGTCACCGGTGACCGCTTGGTGTTTGACAGTTTAATTCCAGCTACGACCATAGGTTCATTTTGATATTAGCTTATGTAGGTATTTTATCAATTATAGTAGTTATTCAAGAATAAGGAAAATATTTACGTCAGAGAAGTGAGTACTTGTATTTATTGTGAATGTAATGTACTTTTTGGTCTTTCTCAAAATCACTTTCATCAATAATCACAGTTAAGTGGGTATAAAATACTAGTTAATCTGTCAAACACCAAGCGGTCACCGGTGACCGCGACCTATTGTTCTTTAATTGTGTCTATAAAACCGGTACTCGACGAGTTAAACCAGCTATACACATACATATATACAATAGCTATACAAACTCTTTGTTCCACATTTCGGATGCTGTCAATGGTCGATATCGCCGCGCGAAAAACCAGTTTTAAATTCTGAGTCATCATAAATCAGTCGCGTCATCTACATCTTACCTATCTACTTTATGACCTCTATTTTGGAAAGTTCGCCGTAGAGT